TGTCAGCTGTATCTAACCGCAAACTAAGCCATTATATTTTTAGCATTCTACACCGCTTACTAGAACACACTAGTGGTTCAGACAAAACATGGTAGGCCGAAGAAGGACCTTGTGATCGACAAGAGGTAAGCTATTTTCCTAATTCCTAAATCTAATTCTCAGAAACTAGGTAACTTCAGGTGAATATGAAAAAATCAAATTGCATTCAGAGCTCGCGATTTGGCGACTCCGCTACGAAGGGCTCCGTGACTTTTCCCGTAAAGATGTGACCGCAGCGGGCGCGGACTAGAGACGTGTCGTACAGCAGAGCCGGACTAGTGAGACAATGATGAGAGAGCATGGTGGGAAAGAGATGGTGCTAAGTCAATGGGAGGGGACCATACGGCGGCACCGTTTTTCAAGCGCGATGGGACTAAGCAGAGCCCATGAATGAGTGGGTAAGCCGTGGACGTTAGCATTTGTGATTGGCCTCTACCGCATTGACTTCCTTCTAGGCTCAGGCTCAGTGCCATTGTTTAGCAGACGCCGCTCGCCGCGCGGTGCGCCCCCAACCCACTTAGCACCAAAGAGAGTACGGCTCTCTGCTCACCAGCTTGCGTCCGCACCCGCCGTAGCCACGCCTTTAAATGTAGAAAGTCACGAAGCCGCGATGAATTATGAGCAGCACTGGTTCATATGTAGTAAGGGGATGTAGAGTGAGTGGGCGGAAGGGGGCAACCGCAGAACACCCAAGGCACCAGAAAGCCGAAATGTACGGTTTTTCAAGAACCTCGGCATGATACACTACACGCATAATTATAGTTCCACCTGCAAATTTCCCGAGAACTTGAATTTTGGGTTGTTTTTGAAAAGCCCAGGCCAAACAGCCAGACTGTGAAACATATCGACGCGAATCTGAATATTAACACGAAAATCCAGTTTGAGAAAGCAACAGTTTTTTATCCTCATTTGTTTTTTGAAAATACCTGCTTTCCTGATTATGCCTATGACGCAAAATCACAGTTCCACCTCTTAATTCTTCGCTGCATTCTGCCATTCTGCTTTTACCAATCAGATTTTGAAATTATTACTCATTCGAGTCGTTAGCTTATAGCAAAGGCAAAAACGCTGTCAGACTTCCGTAAAAGGAAAATCCTAGCAAAAGAGAAGCAGGAATTGCATAAGTGTCAGCTCACGCTGGAATTTGTCGGGGTGACTTTTTAACGAACAAATTTCTTAAGGATGCTACAGGATATGATACTGGGTGAGACGCTGATTACTATCCGACCGAGATAAGCGCCGCATTGTGAGAAAAAAAATACACTTTATCCAGCCGGGTACGGAAACCAAAACTTCTTCAAAAGTTAGTGTCTCAATGGACGCAGTTTCACGTGTTTTACAACACACTCGTGGCAGTCCATATCAGGAAGGTAAGAAATACGCTTTTTGTGAAAAGAACTCGGAAAAACAAGCCATTTTCCTTGAAGAGTTTTGCGAAGTGGAGCAACGTGAGGGCACTTTTTTTATCTGTGATATTTTGTAACCTCTGACCGTACTCTTTTTCTTTCCCATACACGTTTGCTGCGAAGTAAAAAACCAATCTGAGAAAGAAAAACGTTAAGCGAAAGAAAGACACAAATCAAAAATCACAAATGAAAGAATGTCACCGCTTCAATCGATTTGGCGAAACTTTCCAAGAAAAGTGGTTCGTTTTTCTCTATAACTCGTTTTGACGAGAAGTGTGTTCCTTATATTCCAGACATGGATTCTCACAAGCGTGTTGTAAGGTGAAACGCGTTTACTGAGAAATTCACTTTTGAGGAAGTTTTGAATTCCGTACCCGGCTGGATAAAGTTGTATTATTTTCTCACGATACGGCGCTTATCTCGCTCAGATAGTATTCAGGGTTCCTCCCAGTATCATACCCTGTAGCATCCTTGAGAAATTTGTTCGTTATGAAGTCACCCCCAAGTCATCTCAAATCCCAGCGTGAGCTGACAGTTCGACAATTCCTGCGTCTCTTTTGCTAGGATTTTCCTTTTACGGAAGTCTGACAGCGGTTTCGCCTTTAACGTAAGCTGATGAACTTGTATGGGTAATAATTTCAGAATACGATCGAGTAAAAGCAAAATGCAGCGGAGAAACATGAGATGGAACTATGATTTTGCGTCATAGGCAAAGCGGGTATTTTCGAGAGAATGAGGATAAAAAAATGTTTCTTTCTCAAACTGGATTTCCGTGTTAATATTCAGATTCGCGTTTATATGTGTCGCAATTTATCTGTAGAGCCTTTTCAAAAACGTCCCCAGATTCAAGTTTTGACAACTTTGTAGGTGGAACTATAATATGCGTCGCAGTGTATATTGATGGCTAGCATATCTTCTGTATGCTCTCCTCGAGGTTGTTAAGCTGTCTTTATTGGCTTAAAGGAATCTTGCGCGGAAAATTCTTGCACTCTTTCCTAACATGAATAGGTCAGTTGTGATCACTGGAAATAGCACACAAAGTTTCAAGCATGATTCGGTTTCTGAAGAGAAACAAACGTACAAAAACTAAATGTTGTGGACCATCGAAGGACCAGGAGGCAGAGGCAGGCGAGGCATGGAAAGAAGACGGCGTTTGGCCGGCTACGTACCAGGCGACGCAATGAGAGAATCGGGTTAAAGCGCGGCGATTTCGGAGAGTGGAGACAAATCGATCGATGGAATAGGATGGAGTAGAAGTGTAAGATGTGAATGCAACGAAGCAAAAGGCCAGAAAGAGCTTCTAGTGGATGCACTCCAAGAACCAAGTTTGAGCATCCCGTCGCCAGCATTCGTGAAAGACGTCCGTGGGCAATTCGAACGCGTAGCAGCCTTTTCGAGTTATCGAATTTCTAATTCAAACGAAAGCAATACTTCAGTTCTTTTCACTACTTATTCATGGATAATGAGTCTCAGCCAGTGATTTATGCCTGAAATAGAATCATGATTTTTCCGCGCAAGATTTCTTTAAGTTTCGGATCATGCAATACCAAGGTGAGCCACTTACCGTAACTCACAAGGAAAGGATCCCACGTCGCCATGGCAGTTTTGGGAAAAAATTCATTTGAACCATAAATGAACAGTAAAGATTCTGAACGTTTCCCTGGAGCAACATTACAAATCCTTGACGTCTACTTTTGCCTGCCTTTCAAAGCTATGCTACTCAAGCGTTTCAACTAGTACGTTGTTGCTCATGATGTGAATTTTCGGTTAAGCGCTCATGACTCCATAATAAGACTTGTCTCATTGCTCTATTTCCTATTGCACTTAGATTTAAGAATTTCCTTTCCTCCTCATGGCACGCGGCTGAGTGTCTTGAGACACACCTTAGCGGATTCAAGACACCTATACAGTCTAAATGGAAGAAGGTCGTGAAAGTGATGGCTGCAGTGACCCTCCCATTCTCACACTGTGAGAAGTTTTTTCTGCTTCAGTTATTCTGTTATAGGATATCACATGTGTTCTTTGAACGTTTCTAGATGATTTCAGTGATACTCGTCTTGAATATAGTCTTCAGGTCGTTAACAGAAACAAAATGCTTGCGGTCCTCACTGAAGCGGATTTTCCTCCAAACTCTACTTTCAGCACGTGTTAGCAAAAGGCGTGCTACTAGTCAAAAAAAAGTCTAGAACCATTTTGAAGAAGTTCAGGAGACGAAAGGATAAAAGGCAAGATTTGCCCACGCACGCGTCAAGGATTCGAACCTCCATCTCGAGTCTGCCAGTCCACCAGCCTACCAACAGCGCCACCTAAGCGCAACCACTCCATCGCTCGAGTGGTTCATGAACACACTTCCCAACCGGTAAACGATTTCGCGAGTTTGTTCAGAGAATCGTTTAGCAGATTTGCAGGACGGATTCGAAGTCAGCGTCCCAAGATCCGTACAGAAATATGCATCTCATTTCGAGGCCATGGCGACGTGGGATCCTTTCCTTGTTAGTCCTCGAGATCACGCGGAACCAGCAGTGGGACACACAGCTCCGGACTAAACTTGATTTAGTGTTACTGGTGGAAGGCTAACCTTATATAAGGCCTCAGCTCCCGCGTAATGGTAGGGCATTCTTCCTTCCGGTTCATTTTTGGACCAGTGACCTGAATTCAAAATGCGTCAAAGGTTTCTCACGCTGGGTTCGAGGTTCGCGCGCCATGACCTCGGCCGTGACCCCAAAATCATCTCCGTTATGGATTTGAACCCTATGGGCCCCAGGGCAGTTTACAGGAGGGAGTTGTTTGCTATTCAGGTGTTCCTTTACACGTACATGGAGAGGCCTCGCTGTCTGACCATGCACTCGTCTCCGCAGTTGCTGCATGTGATCTTGTATACCACCTCTGAGATTGTGCGGTCTGCTCTCCCCCGGTCGGACAGACTACACAACTAGAGGTGGTACAAGAGCGGTCGTAGTGCCGATTGCGTATGAGGTGATGCTTCAAATTATTGGGTGGCACTCCTTAGGCACTTCCTTATGAAAATGCTAACTTCCTCAGAGGTAAATGGTACCAAAAATGGGACTTTGCCATTGAGGAAATTACCACCGGGTCTGTGCCCGGGCCGCCATTTCTTGCTCTGTGGGAGGTCGAAGGGGCCCCGTAGCCATTGAGCTCAGCTATTTTACGTGCAGTCATCAGTGCTTCCTTTCGCTCATCCTCTCCAAGTGAAAACTAGCCGCTGTGCGAAACATGTTCCTTACACACCTCGTTTGGTCTGTGAAGGATGCGCTGACTGACAGTGACTGATGATGTTCTTGTTGCTGTTCTTCCAGTACCACTTCGTAAAAAGCATGCCACCCAGCAATTTAACTTGAAGTTTAGAAATGGGAGCTAGCTTCCCGAGTGTTTTTCCCGTGTCAGCTTCATGTGCTCTCGTTGTTTAGGAGATCGAAACACATGCCCATATGTTCTTGCGTAATATCTTTAGATGGTCGGGTAGGTATTTCGAGCAGATCAGAGGTTTAGCTATGTGGCAACGACTAGCGCCTACCTTGGCTACAGCTTTCATGTTTAAAATCGAAGCGCCTGTATTGGGAATCCACCCCATGCTTTACTGTCGCTATATCGATGTTTGCTTCGGAGCATCGGATCACTTGCTGACATCTTGTGCGATAGTGCAACTGGACTCATCGGCCTTTTACCATTCAATGATATGTCATCAAGATACTGAGCATACTGAAACAATGCGTGTTTAATTTAAAATAGTGGTTGACTTCATGGAGTCACCTTTCTCTTGTATTTTGGGTGAGGTTTCGTGGTTTACTTCATGGAGCCAACTTTGTCTTGTATTTTTGGAGCATTGAAATAGTTGAAAATGATTGTCTTCTTCTAAGATCATCTTTTGCAGGATTGCATGTAATCTGTATTGCATTTAACTACAAACTAAGCTATTTTTTTGGTGAGAGTCCTGACGGAATGTCGGAACCACTAGAGAAGACAAGGCGCTTGGTGGATTAAAACGTAAGTCTTAACCTCAAACCGCATTTAGGCCTCAGAAACGACAATTTTTAAACGATAGGTGGAACTAATAAATGTTCCGCTTCTAAACCTCCTACGGCACAAGAAGTGACACAAATAAGCTATTGTATTTTCAAAATTTTAACACCGCTTACTAGTACACAGTAATGGTTCAGACAAAACATGGAAGAAGGACCTTGTGATCGACAAGGGGTAAGCTATTTTCCGATCTAAAGCTTAGAAACTAGGCAACTTCAGGTGAATATTGACGATTTTGTCAAAACGTTAGGCCGAACTCATAAGTGCTCCACCTATAAACCTCGCACAGCAGAGTAAAAGAAAATGCATGCCAACGCCTAATATCAGAGCAGATTTAGAGGAGGATTGAGTGTGAGTCAAGGTTGACTTGCGATTCTATCGATCTTAGGCTAAGTCGACTCTGCGCGAAGTACGATATACTGTTAGGTGCACACCGAGAAACCTCCAGCAACCATGAAAACACTTCGTCCAGGGAGCATCACCACATCAACGACCTAGTCGCGATGAGAGTTTTCCGGCGCGAGTCACTGTTATCGGCGATGCTCCAAATGTTTTGAGTTTGTTAAGTCTTGGTCCGTCTTTTTCTCCTTCGCAGAACATCAACGCCCAGACTCTCTGAAAAGTAGTTGGAGGACTTCAAAGGCTTAGAGACTCACTGCGCCTCAATGAAGGCGTCGTGAGGACTCCATGAAGTTACCTTCCTCTTGTATTTTGGGTTGGATTTCGTGGTTGACTTCGTGGAGTCACCTTTGTCTTGTCTTTTTGAAGTACTGATATAGTTGAAAATGATTGTATGCCATCTGTTTTGTATTTATCCACAAACTAAGCTATTATTTTTTTGGGGGGGGGGGTCCTAACGGAATGTCGGAACCGCTAGAGAACATAAGGCGCTTGGTGGATTAGAACGTAAGTACCCTTGAACCACATTTAGGCCCCAAAAGCGACGATGCTGTTGAAGCGTTAGGTCGAACAAATAAATGTTCCGCTTATAAACCTCCTACGGCACAAACAACTAACACAAATAAGCCATTATATTTTTAGAATTCTAACACCGCTTACTGGTACACACGTCCAGACAACATCGTAGGCCGAAGAAGGACCTTGTGATCGACAAGGGGTAAGCTATTTTCCTATCTAATGCTTCTAAACTAATCTAATCCTTCTAGTTCTAAACTAGGTAACTTCAGGTGAATATTAATGAAAAAACAGGTTGCGGTTAGGGTCCGCGATTTGGCACTCCGCTGCGAAGGGCTCCGTGACTGTTTTCTCTGAAAATGTGACCGCGGCGTATAGTGAAGAAGGAAGCAGTAGTTTGCAATGAAGACTGAGTTTGTGATACTATGTAATCTCATGTGGTTATTGTTTTGCCCGTATATGTATAAGGAAGTTAATGAGTAAGAACTTTACTTTTTTATCCCTACGCAACTACTCCAGAATGCGGCGTTCATCCAAATAAAGGTCAGTGACAACCTTGCGTCCTGTTCTGTAGGAGTAGACGTACACACTGAGCTACGCGTATACGGCGGGCGCGGACTAGAGACCTGTCGTACAGCAGAGCCGTACTAGTGAGACAATGAGAGAGTATGGTGGGAAAAAAGAGGATGCTAAGTGAGTTGGGGGAGGGGGGGCACGCGGCGGCACCTTTTTCAAGCGCGATGGGACTAAGCTGAGCCTATGAAAGAGTAGGTAAGTTGTGGCCGTTACGATTTGTGATCGGCCTCTACCGCATTGACTTCCTTCTAAGCTCACGCTCAGTGCCATTGCGTAACAGACGACGCTCGCCGCGCAGTCCGCCCCTCCCCCTCACCCACTTAGCAACAAAGAGAGTACGGCTCTCTGCACACCAGCTTGCGTGCACCCGCCGTAGCCACGCCCTTAAATGTAGAAAAGTCACGAAGCAGCGATGAATTATGAGCAGCACTGATTCAAATATAGGGGGGGGGGATAGGGTGAGTGACGGAAGGAGGGGGCAACGCAGAGCACCCACGGCATTGAAAAGCATCATAAACCTTCCCATTTTTGTACTCGCTCGGAGTGCAGTCACACTTGGTATCTGCCTTACATTTCTTTTGCAAACCGAGTGTGTACTAGATAGCTATCGATCATGAGCACGTACGAACACACGATCGTGTCGCAGCATCGCACGGCCCTGCCATTTACTCCCACTTGAACAGCACGGCGATCGCAAAGTATAACCACGCTCTTAAATACAACAGCGGCATGGCTCAGAATGTACACTTAGCCGTGCACCAGTTGCACTCATGAGCTGAGCGCCGCTCACTGTGAGCGTGGAATGCATCGGATGAGAGACACCGACGACGTAAAGTTCGAATTCGATTCCGAAGCAGGTCATTTGCTACTGTTTGGCGATCTCAGTAGCCTTTTGAATCGTTAGACAGTCTTGAGACGAGGAAAAAGGAGTGTAGACTGGCGTAGAAGAAGAGATCAAGTGCTAATAGTGTGCGCTGATTGACTATTAACAATCCAGCCAGACACAAGTTTTCGGCTTCAGTCCTCCTTCATAAAAATGAACTCTTTCAGGACCGCCGCGCCCTCGACGACTTCCATACAGCATTTCCGCAGTGATTTGAAAGACACACCTCAGCTAGATACAGTTTTGCAGCTTTAGAACTTTTGGGGAGGGAAACATTCTTCAGGGCAGCAGTGCTCCCGATTCATCGTTCAGCACCACAGCATTAACTCTTTGACGACGATTCAGATTTGCTCATATCGGGCTCGTAGGACCACAGCACTTTTTGGCACGCCTTACGCGTGCTGAACCTTGAGTAAAATTATTCCGAAAAGCAGTTTTTGATCAAATTTTTGACTATAGAGATATATCTAAGAGAGCTGCCTTTTCAAAGTTTTATATTACACATTCTTGAAAAGAGAACTGGAAATTTGAGAGGCGAACTCGAATCTCCAAGGGATGGAGGGTAAAACTCAGATAGTCTATGTGTACAATAGATTTTTTAATAAAGTTCAAATTCCTTCCTGTGTCTTAAGACTATGAAAATGCGAAGAAGCCTTGACCGGTTAATCTGCAGCGTTGTGATGAAAAACAACAATTAGTATGCCTGCTAGCTAAACACCGCATTCAAAAATCTCGTATAAAGTAGCTCCTAATGAGATTCCTGTGAATCGTGCTAAACATAGATATTATGAAGGGGTGCGGGACTTTTGGTGCGTCCGGAGTTGCACGCGGCGAATTGTGCGGCGGCATGCGCGGCGATGCGGATGAGACAAGGCTTCGCGTGCTCAGCAGTAGAATTCGAAACGCCAAAGCGTATCAGATTGCGGATGTTTCTACCCGCGGAGATTTGGATGCAGCGGTGTCTGTGAAGAGATTTCAGGCAAAGAAGTAAGGGAGAACTTTCATGGAAACGGCACTTTTATCACCCATGCCATTAAGAAACGCTATAATTAGAGTTTTTACTGCAATGTTGTTCAGTGTCAACTACATATATTGCGTATATTGCTTTACTGACCATAGCACTCGTGTCTCTAATCGTAAGAGGACATTCAAAACAGCGACGGTGGTGACACTAGTAGGACTAAGCCCAGGAGGGGAGAGGTACTCCAGGAAGAACACAATTTGCTCCTAGAATCCCTTTCCCCTGAGGCTCAGTTCCATGCACAGTAATTGGCTCACTCACTCGGATGCCCCCTCTCCCAACGACTGACGCCCTACTCCTGTCACAGCTTTATGTCAGCTCCTTCTCATCCCTTCTTACTAAAGTATCCTGACCATCACCGCTGATAATTCGCACGTTGGAATGTAATCGAGTTGCAGAACCTTGCGAAATTTATCCCTTTCACATTCTGACGTGGTAAATTCCATTGCAGACGCCCGCGAGATTTGCATCCGGATCGCCGCGCAACCGCCGCGCGATGCCGCGTGCCATCCCGGACGCACCAAAACTCCGTCGCCCATTATGAAGTCTGCTCGCAATCGCTGGATGTTGAGAATATTTTAAATGCGCATTGAAATTTTTTAAAGGTGGCACCCATCATTGGGTGTCATTGTCCAGCTGCAGACAAAGTGGCACCCAGCGGTGGGTGCTATCTTGTTTGGCTCGTCGCTGACGGGTTAAACTGTGAGGACATCTGGCCGTCACTTTTATATTGTCAGACTTCCGTAAGATGCGCGCGCAGCACATACATACTTTGTCATATTTTCAATGGTACTCTGGAGAACTGCACTCAATGCACACCATAGAGTTAGGAGAATTAAAGAGAAATAAAACACAAGTGAGTATTAAAAAACTGAAGAAAGTTTAAAGAAAAAGGGAAAAAGTAGGGATTTCGAGTAAAACGCGCCTATGCAACATGTGCGCAACTAGTTCGCGTAGTTTGCATTGGCATAATTTTTCTTTCAACCTATCGAAAAGAGACCGACACTATTTACCCATATCACAATGAGTAAATCCTCTTCGGTAATTATGTTTCAAAATTTCAAAATGCTAGATAGATTTGTAATCATTGGAGCTGCAACTGGAGTGTCCAGAAATTTTTGAGAAAATTCAATCTGTTTATTCATCATAACATTTTTTACGTGCTCCTTACCCACGACATCTCTTCAGGGTCAACCCTACGTTGGCACAAGTACCAACGGGTGGGGGGTCGTACTTGGTTCAGCTCGGAGGGGGGGGGGTCGTATCCGCTTCAGTTTGTGGTTAAACTCGAGTTTCTATGAGTAGTAGGATAGGTGAGTTGGGAGCGCACGGGAGAACAATTCGCTGTTTCAGCGCGCGTATATATCCCCCTTAGAAAACGAAGCAGTGGGATTATAGGTAGAGTTGGGATAAAGTGGTTGAAATTTAGGGAATTTTTGTAAATTTTTGCTGTTTCATAGTGGGTATAGACCCCCCCCACTCGACGGCATTTTTGGAGGGAAGTGGGCGGAGTTTGGTGGGTTGAGTGGTATCAGAATTAAATACTATAGAGAGGAATATGGTAGAGGGTCGAAGTACCAAGCCCACCTTGGGGGAGGGGGGTTGTAAAAATTTTGCAAAAAGTACCAGCGATAAGACCGACCCTGCATCTCTGCATTGGTTGGAGAGAGCACTTCTCCCAGAAGGAAGAGAGGCGTGACGCAATCGATCTCTTCCACGCTTGCCTTCGACGCTTGTTGAATTTTTCCCTCTGCTGTAGGCTTGTAGAATTCTGATGGCGTGAGTCCCATGGGGTTGGGTCAGACGAATGTGGAGGATGGCGTAGCCAGGTGATCTACTACTATACAAACCTGTGCCTTACTATACACGTTCGGTTAAGTGGAAGAATGATAAGATCACCTCTTTCTCGACGGGAACGCATCGCTTCGAAATCGATTGGCTTCACCTCCACGTAGCTATTGCAGTTTTCTGCGTAAATTTTCATACGGCTTCTACTTTGCATTCTGACTGATAATGAGGTCTGTTCATGTCCATGTTAGAGGAACTTCTGGCACACATTGCTTAGCACTTGACTGTCTTGTTTAGTTAAGGATTATGGGATAACTCCGGTGTTGCAGTGGACCAATGGATTCTACGCAGAATCTACACGAATGCGGCTTCTGCGTAGAATCCAAGGATGCAGGCGGGGTTAAGAAGTCGTGCTCTCCATTCCTCTCAACCTTTGCGAAGATTTGGTTTGAGCTGAGTGGAGGCTAGAACAGCGTCGCTGTTGGACGGTTGGACGTACGGAGATTTGTAGAGGCGAATCTCTCCTCTGGGGAAGCGAGTAGCCACCTATAGCTTGCCACCCCAGAGAAGCACTGCTGCCTACCGGGTAGCATTATTTTCCCCAAGTTTGAGAAGGGAGCTTCTAAAACGGTAACAGTGGAGCACGATGTCGGTCATAGTGTTGGTCGCACATGTTTCAATGGAAGCTAATTTTCTGACAATTACGAAGTGAGATAACCTTCAGCTATGAATACAATCCTCCAACCTTGCCCGTTTGCCTGCCATTTGTTTTAAAGATGTGCTCTGAAGCATTTGCACGCAATATGCTCCTAAACTTAGGAAGCAGAATTTTCTCAACTTTTCGAACACCCTAATAAATAATATGAGAGTACTAAGTGCACAGTGTCCTTAGTTCGATAACTTCAGGTTCGCAATAATGGCAGGTAAGCCAAATAGTTGAAATTTAATATCAATATACGGATATGCTAAGGAAAGTGAATACGGTGTGTAGAGAATAGCAAGCGTACCGTATGTGGTCCTACATTATCCTCTATCCACCGCATCATGTGGACATTACAAGGAACGTAAGGCTGCCGTAATAAGTGTTCTTGAACTTCCAAAAAACGCTTTAAATCCTCCAACGTTATGCGGTCCTTACTAGGCCTGAAAAACACTTCTTATGTCAGAATTGTGGGAAGACTAACTGAAACGTTTTGATTGCAGGTGTGAATTACCTTGTCTTCTTGAGAGCAGCGATTATTCTCATGGCCTCTCGTATATCGTCACTCATATTAGCGAATCCTCTTCTCGCACCACGGATTTTTCTGCCGAAATAGTGGAGCTTGGTGAAAGTTCGCTTCAATGTTGAGGAGCAAAGATCCAACGATGCTGTGATCACAGCTAGGCCAATTATCACATATACAACAACTAGCTGAAACATTAATTCTTATCTTCAATGGATTCATTATCATTGGACAACATTAGACTAGAGTAATCATCAGGCGGTCCAGTTCTGCTGCACCAATCCGCTCGGCCGACCCAGACCATGGCGAACAAGTAAATAAATTTTTTTCAATAGTGCGCGGCAAGTTTCGAGAGAGAGAATACCGTTAATGCACACTGTGTGCAAAGCTTGAAGACGAGGTACTTAAAATAATGCAGTTCGCTAGCAATTAGATGGATTTGGGCGAAAGTGGGGAGCATCTTGCCTAATGTCTTCCAGTCGTGCACGAAAGGTTTTCACCCAACCCAGATGAGTTCGGGTAACGCCAAATGGTGACGACAGCTGTCGCCCAGAAAAGAGTGAATAAGCTCGCAAGGTAAAGTGTTTTATCTAATCACTTTCTCCATATCTTATTCAATATGCATTCTGATCATGAGGAATTTGTAATCGTCACTCAGATGCTTCTTCTCTCGCTCAAGACATACTGTGGAATGTAATCAATCGACTGTGGAGGAGTTAAATCGACATATAACGGTTATAAGCATATACGCCGCGCGAGGGAAACATCAGGGCCCATTGGCTGGTAACGGACTTCGAAGAAAGTGACGGCTTGTCACCTCATATCGCGTAGAAGTTCAACCTTCGACAGTCGTTGGACACGTTTCACTGTAATATCTGTCTGTTTATTCTATCCCAGACTTCCCGTAGTCCACTACACCTTTGATCGATTGCGGTTAGTATATTTGTTAGAATAAATAGTTGTTTGTTCAAGTTGAAGTTCTCTTCTTAGTTTGGTCGCGTGGCAAATATAAATGGAAGGCGAGCCAAATCACGCAGAAGTACTTCAACTTTTAGTGCACCGGCCATAGCGACTTGTGAATCCAGCGGTCTGACGGCTACGCAAAAGAGTACAAGTCACAGGACAGCTTTCCAAATCATTGCAATGCATTAGGAACGGTACTTGTAAAATTGCTCCGGTTAGTTTGTTGGACAGCTTCAAATTCGTTTGAGACTTCGAACAACCGAGCTTGACATTACGGGAAACTCTACGATTGACCGTGACTCATACCAGGACGAAGTAGCGTAAGAAGACATCTGTCAGCGCAATTCTCTTCACATAAACGCATGCTAACAAGGCAATGTAACAAGCTGGATAGGGTACTATTCGTCTTTCAAGTAAGAATTTAGAAACTCCACCGGCAAAAGGAGAAGGTTGCACGTTAGGATGGGAGTTAGATTACGGTAAACGCATACAGGAAGCATTAGGTGTCATGGAAACGAGTACATCTAAGATAAAGGCACTATGGCAGAAATACTTTCTCAGGCAATATCTGGGATTTGGATAATTTTTGGGCCCTCTTCAACGTTAATGTACATACCCGAACATTCCCCAGGCTTCCTGAATTCAATCATGCTAAACGCGTTGAAGGGTGAAGCGCACAATGCTATGCGAAAATTCCAAGCGACAGAAGAGAACTACGAGAAAGCTGTGAAATTCCTGCAAGAGAAATATGGTAATAGAGAGGAACTTGTCCACAAACTCATTGTGCGACTAGAAAAGGCTTGTCAACAACCAGTGGTTGTTTAAAGAAGTGTTGGCCAAATTTACTAAGTACATCCTACGGAGAGTCCCAGAAAAGAGATATTCCATGAAGGGATCTTTTCAAATGCACAATTCCTTATCATGCTTGGACCAAATTGTTCCCACAGAGGAAAAGATTGCACTTCACACGTCCAGAGCACTGAGGTATGACATGGAGTCAAGGAAAAAGGATCGCGTCCTCAAAGAAGAAGTGCAACGCTCGACTTTTATGTGTATGTACTGTGACGAGGATCACAAGGCAGCGTCGTGCAGGAAATATAGGACACTTCAAGAGCGGACAAAATACCTAGGGGAACACAAACTATGCTTCCTCTACGCGTCCTCTCGGCATATCACCTCGGCATGTACAAAGGCGCGGGTATGCTTTACATGTCAGGGCAGACACCACCCTCCTGTTGTTTTAAATACAGTCCTATCCCGAGTCTAGTTTCCCTCAGCAGGAACAATGGCCAGCATCGTTGGAACTGGAAGGGAGAGACAACCTTTCCGATACACAGGGTTCCACACCAGGGTCCACATCCGAACGACCGATGTAGAAAGCCGGCAAAAACGCGTGACATCACACAGGAATCTTCTGTAGCTCAGTTTAACTCCTTTCGAGACACGGTAACGAAACGGGACACCTACTTACCAATCGGAGAGATGGCAGTAATGGATAATACATCGCGTAGACTAAAGAAGGTAGCAGCACTGATGGATTCGGGAGCTGAGTGTTCCTTCATCGACAGTAAGTTCGCAGAAGAACGGGGCTTACCAGTGTTAGGTAAAACAGCTTCGCGTTAGGACTTTTGGCTCTAGTAACGTGCAGGAGTGTATGAGTGAAAAGGTGTCCTTAGAGATATGGGGGAAGTTGGGAACCATTCAGAATTATTAACCCACGACGTTCTTATCAGTTCTCTCAAAACTCCATCAATATTGAATGAAGACGTCCAATTCTTGAAGTTGTTACAAGTTTCGCTTGGTTTGACAAAGAAGAACGAAACTGTCAGAGCATGTGTTTTATCAAAGCTACGAGTCTGGAGTCAGAGTTAGGCAACCAGCAGAAATTCTTTCCACGGTGCGATGGTGGGCTCACCAAGCACTGAGGGCGCGACACTGTCGCGACTCAAAAGTTCGAGGCACGGCGCTAAGACCCTGCATTGCGTGCTGCCGTGCTGCCAGCGTAATACACTACGGCATACGTGGTCTCTGCGTCCTCTCGCGCACGACGTGCTATTTCGCGTTCTCCCTCTCCACGCAGCACTGTGCCTCTCTATGGTACTACGGCCGGCCTCCTAAGGGAAATTCATTGTTTTCTATGGTACTTTTTGTTTTTCTCCTCACCAATGTTCCTTAGTGCACCCCTTGCCTAATGTTTGGACAAAATAAACATCGGTTGAATCCTGACTCGTGCCTTTGAGATGCGACCAAATTTGGCCGCTTATTTAACAGGGCTAGCAACAAATACGCCTCCCGCCAGACTTATATCTGTTACCTTCACATATGGGACATTTATTGACGGGAAAAGTTGAAGACACGCGTAACATGACACGTGTACTGAGGGGAAAGGATGTAGAAGAATGCAACAACAGTTGGTCCCTTGACGCGAAAATTTCTCAGCAGACAGTTCCACTGAAACCGGGGGAGAAAAGGGGCTTTGTCATCGGTACTGGACTCTGGAAAAAGATGGAAGAGTTTTCTTCTGAAAGAAAATTGCAGGCACTCATAGATAGCGGTCTGGAAAAATTCCAGGGACACGATTGAGAAAAAAAAGATGACGGAGTTCATGTTCGTCGTCCGTGGAGGGAAATCCTCACCCCTACCTTACAACCGCGCCATCGAATGGAAACGACTGATAAGTGTATGGAATCCCCTTCGAAAAGATGAAGAGCTTCTAGGTTAGTATGATGACATCTTTCGGAAACAAGAACGTTCAGCAATTATCGAAGAAGTAGTGGACAAAAGAACACCTGTTGGAAGGAAGGTTCACTACCTGCCGCATCAAGCTGTGTTAACCCCTCAAAAGTCGACGACCAAAATTCGCGTTGTCTTTGACGCATCAGCTCACTTTAAGGACTCCCCTTAACTAAATGACGCGTTACATAGAGGACCATTCATTCTTCCTAAGCTATACGGTTTACTTCTTCGTTTCAGAATAAGTCGCGTAGCACTAATTGTGGATGTAGGAAAGGCGTAATGCGCTCTCAGGAAATTGACAGGGATGCGACTCGATGTCTATGGTTGTGAGACTGTAAAAAATCTCCAAGTACGAGCAACCTACGACTTTTAGACTTACGCGCGTGACATTCGGATTATTATCCTCACCGTTACCACTTAGATCAGTATCCCGATAATGTACAGCTGGTAACGGAGATTAAAGACAATCTTCACGTGAACAATCTTCTCCTAACAGCAGACACGATTAGAGAGGCCATTCAGGTTTACGTATGGAAGGAAATGCTCAGTGAACTGCACGTGAACCTTTGTGAGCTTGTTTCCAACGACAGACAGGTCTTAGAAACGATACAAGAAGCAGATAACAAAGCAATTCTGGTCTTCTTAATTGTAAACAGCATACTTGACTCTATCGACGTATTCAAGTCTCTATTCCGTCTTTGGAATGTCAAAATCATTCCTGGTCAGTGAGTGTAGGGCCGATATTGTATGTGTTACGGTATTTAGGTACTATTCAGCGGATGCTTGCCGATTTGGGATAACTGGAGCACTGTACTTCCTGAGTTGTAGTTCTCGTTTCGTTTTTGTTAGAAACTGGAAGCGCTACAAATCTAGTAAGCCGATAGTTATCTTAATGAAAAACATTATCAATGCTGTCAAAAACTTACGGCTAGGTATAAATGACTTTTTACATAAATATTTCCAAGTCCAATTGTAGTGATGGTATTGAATGAGAAGAAAAGGCCATGTATGAAGGACCTGAAAATAGGTTTTTGTTCAATGAACGCAACAGTGTTTGTCATGGACGCGTCCAGGTATCTTTTTATCACCGGTAGCAAGATTACCACTAAAAACTACGGCTTTCAGAGCAGGTCTCACTCACTGAAACGATTCTTGCACATAGTAAGAACGCATATATAGTGCACAAAACCATTTCTCGTTCCATTGAACGGTTTTGTGCTACTATAAAAGTTGTGAAAGAGACTGTTGGTTTTTCGATCTTCCGTGACGAATAATTTTTGCAGTTTTCGTTGGCATCTGTGCGTTGGTGTTAAATGGCATTGAATGTTCAGATGTCATATCATAATCGGGTTCATATCGAAACTACCATGTAGCTACCAACTTCAAATGCAAAATTTTTACGCCACCGAGAGTCTAACTATTAACACGTTGACGACCGTGTGGTATGATGTCATACCACACTTTCGCATTGAGCAGGCTAGCTTTCCTGGTTTATTTGGCGTTTTTTCCTGTTTCAGAACGATCCATGTACATTAGTGGATCCAAAAAACAATTAATTCATCACTGATGATGGAAAAACTGAACAAACAACACTGAAGTGTCAATGCCTACTAATGAGAGATCAGGAAAAATGTTGAAGCAGTACGCGCACAACGGCGGTCGTCAACGTGTTAAAGCGAGAGATTACGGCAGAGAATGTGTGTTCGATCATGGAAGTACATGCACCAGTGGAAGCAGTAGTCTAAGGAAGCGAAAAGTGGCTTTTTCGTGGACGAAAGCGGGCTAGTTCAATTCCCTGGAGCTGTCAATCCTCCTGTGCTCCGCCTCTTAGTGTTTTGCTATCAGCATCATTGTTCCTGTCATTTGGATGAGATATTCACTTCGAGAGTGTAGGAATGTGTCATCACTCGAAGTCAGATCTTTGCTGGAATGAGAGCGGCTATCGGTTCAATATGTGCAAACGACTTCTTAGTTAGTTGCTAGCTCTCGTGTGTAGGAATGTGTCATCACTCGAAGTCAGATCTTTGTTGGAATGAGAGCGGCTATCGGTTCAATATGTGCAAACGACCTCTTAGTTAGTTGCTAGCTCGTCCATTATCGGAGGTCAATGGTTAGAGAAAGGGGAACCATTTGCACGTTCCTGACGGGTTTCTTTGCTGTTTCCGCCACTGGGGCATTATTAAGCATCCCCACCTCCACTATGAACCCAACCTAATAATATCGTAATCCCTCGCTTCAGTGATAACTTTTACGAATTTTTTGACACTGCGATAACCGTTCGGCAAAAATGGCACATTATTTTGTGGTGTATACATGCTCCCTGCAACATGCAAGAGACGACACGGCTCGCTCTCGAAGACTCCCTTTGTGAGAGCATTGGTGAAAGTGATACGTGCATGCATCGCACCGACGAGCATGCAAGAAATCAGAAAGTGATGGCACTGCTTTTTAGTTTATCATTTTTCAGAGACTGGGATGGACTCGCTCAACACGTTGACGACAGCATGACGCGCATGAGCGTCAGAATTTTACCCCATTCTGTCTAGTTTTTTATGGTTTATTTGGCCTTTTTCATCTTTCAAAACTGTGTGCATGCGTCATCTTATCCGAGGAACTGTGAGTCAATTACCAGTAGTGGAATTATTGAAGAAGTTATGACGATTGTGAAAAAAATAAACAAGTTGCCAATGTACACACATAAGGGGCTGTCGTCAACGTGTTAAAGTTTGCATCCGTCCGATTGTAACCATTTACAAAAATACGCTTTTACACATACATTCGCTTTGCGCAAAGTGCATGGCATCTGCAGGCGCACGTAGATGCCTATAGACACTTCTGCGCCAAACGAATGTGATAATTGTGCATTACAGAACAAACTACCACTGAAGGCAAGTTTCTGGCCAAACTTATTTCTAGAGACAAAGTTCCAGAAAAAAGCACTAGCGCAGTTTCCGAAAAAAGTGTAGTACACTGATTACTATCCAAGAGAAAGCTTTTTTGACTTCATTTATTTTTTTAACCTTTTAGATACTTGCAAAATGTTGCGTTAATGTAAAACAAATTTCGAGGCTAAAGAATCCTTCTGGCCTTGGGCGAACTCAACAACATTTTTTTCAGTAACTGTTTAGATAGGTAGCCATTCCCTCAAACGTGGTCAAGTGCAGAGTAATCGTGAGCATGATGTTGGAATCCCATACTTTGGGGGTCCAAGACACTGGCTCTTCTGCGTATTATTTGCGTACCAACACACTCCGCGTCGCCAGCGACGAAACTGTCAAACCAGGAGAATATTCTTGAAAAGATTCATACGATCATAGAGTAATCCGCCTCTATTTCGGAGCGGTTTCTTCTCAGATCACCAAGAACCTATTTATAGTCCAAAGGTGCATTTCCACCAAGACGATTAAAATGAATAGCTATTGAGCTGTGATGGCCTGAAGTTTCTTGCCATACTGCATGTACGGGCCAGGGATAATCTTCACTTAGACCTAATAGGTATACCCTATAGTGCTTGTCATCCACCTCAACTAACTGACAAGTTTATCGCTGAAGTAGAAGTTGTCGATTTAAACATGCGAGACCAACCATGGAAAGCGCACGGAGAGCAACTCTTAAAGTGACCGACCAGTTTTCGAACTCCATAACTGCTCTATGCCTTTGATCTTCGGACATAGCACTATGGTCCACTTTTACCACTTGAAGGGGGACGCGATGAAGCTCTTTAACTACCAAGGGATCGAGCTGCCTGCTCATAACATGAAGATGTACGAATGGCTGGTTGGCTCAAAGCTGAGATGTCTTTTTATAGTTGGAAAATTGATCGAAAAATATCGATGAAATCGACGACAATGCTATCTAGCGTTGGTTGACTTAGAGTGGAGTTCTATCTGAGCCTGGAGGGCGCTTAGAGAAAGAAACATTCGAGAAGAACTGATTATCTGATGTGTAGGATGCAATGCAGTTGTGTGGACCCCGCATGGACTCCACAAAAAGCGGCCATTATGTACGATCAGCGTACACCACGGGTCAGCACTGGAACATTTCTTCTTCCTGCTAACCTGTATTCATTTTAAAGGGACTTATAGAAGGGTCGCTAA